ACCGTCATACTTAAGCCATTCACTTGTCACTTTTTCTAGAATATTCTACCATATTCCTTTTGTTTTGCCGCCATGTAAATTCTTTATTGGGAGCTCTTGACTTTTCTAGAACTTTGTAGAACAAATGAGCATTAGTTTTTCAACAGATATGATGGTGGGTCGTTCTTAATTTGAGATGACTCTTGCACAGAACTAAATCAGCTGAACAATTGAAAGGCCTCTATATGTTGTGTGAAGCTACTCGACTGTTAAAAGTACTTGCGTGGTCAGATTCAGTATTTACGAAAGGAGAATGCATCCCCTGTTGTCGGAATCTAGCTATGCATAAGGCACTTTACAAATTTGTTTGCCCCCAAATGTATAAGGCATTTGTGTAGAAGATTAAAAATATATACTTAATTCTGTAGCTATTTAGCTAAAACCCTAGTGGTTAGTTTTGGATCATTACTTATGGATCAGTAGGTTAGAGCTGATTTACAACAACAACAAAAACGTAGGTTGGAGAGGAAACTTGTACATTGATTTAATAGTGCATCTTTTTAATGAATCATATTTTCATGCAAGTTGTTTGAAAATTGAACAGATGACCCATGCATGAGAAGAATGAGATCAGAGAGGAGGATAACTCTGCTGACAGAGTCTCCTGCAGGCGATAACCAATGGCTTACTTGTTGGATTTAATTTGCTCTGATTACGCTGTTTGAACTGATAACCATTGCCAAAGCCATTGAGTGGTAATTCTTTTTCTTTTTCAAAATGTAGTTCCTATGTTTTATTTCACTTATTTTATATATGGGTTTGCATTGAATGTGATTTTTCGAAAGGTATATTGGTTGTATAAAACTGATTCATAAAATTTTAGCGTGAATTTTTCATTTTGCTGTTGTAGTTAACTTTGTAATTGCAGGAAAGAAATATGTAGCGCATGTGCTTGTTTTAATATTCAAATCTTTAATCTACTGATGCCATGAAATCTTTGATATACAAAATAAAATAACGCCATAAAATCTTTGATATACAAAATAAAATAACACTATAGTTCTAAATGCATGTAAAGCAGCTCCAAAAACCCACGAAAATGTGTTGTAACACCGCGATCCACATCCTCCATAGAACCAGCAGCCAAACCATGTTGATGATAATGATGATACAGATTCCTAAGGTACCTAAGAAGATCCTCCACATCCCCAGTGTAATTTATACGGGGTTTTATATTTTGGGGTTTTATATTTTTGATGACGACGAATTTCTTTTGTTTTCTTGATGGGGAGGAGTTTCTATGGTTGTAAACACCCGACATAAATTTATCCATGCTATTAACGGTTGAAGTAGAGTTCCAGGATTTGAAATTGTCAAAAACGGGTCTTGCCAACGCCGATTTTACTGTTGGACCATAGGTTCGATCATTCCTCATAGCTTCATAATCATCAAAGAGACGCATCCTGTCATCAGCTTCCAGCAAAAACGGATGACCCACCACTTTTTTCACAAATTCACCATAGCTGAAAAGACAAAAAGAACAATATCCTATAAGAAAGAAAGAAATGAAGTGAAAAATAAATAAATAAATAAAAATAAAAGAGATAGACAACTCACTCCAAGTTCTTTCTCTTAGCACGGTTGACAAAACCAAAGAAGTGTTGACATTCCAGCCAACTTCTTTTGCCCCCCGTTAGTATCGATTCGAACCAGTTGTCCAACATCCCTAAAAGGTCCGTAATATCTGCTTTCTTTTCCCACTCACGGCCGTCTTCAAATTCATGCTCATACAAATCTCCCTTAATATTAATTACCTTCAGACATTTGTCAATAAATACATAATTGCTCTCCGAACCCAACCCACCATGATATGACCCCTTAGAATGTATGCGACATATGCCTTTAATCAACTCCCTACAAACAGTACGAAGAATTTACGTCAAATACAATTAAAACAAAACTATGACCAATAATTTTTACAAAATCTAACCAAATACCTTATGGAATCACGCCAAAATTCCTTAAGACGACAACCATTACCAGTCTTGATAGGTAGTTTAAGCTTATCATTATAACCAACATTTCCCTTCACCAAATTCGTCCAATCTTTAAGATTGTTTTCGAAACGATCATAACATAGAGTCCAGATTCCCTTCCTCAACTCTGCATCCTTAGGCAAGTCGCAAAACTCCTTTTCTCCGGAGAACCAATACCTCCACGGCTTTAAAACAACACCATCATTAGCTGCGGCAGTCCTTCCAAATATTCTTTCTGCATCTTCTCGTCGAGGAACTTTTACAAACACCACATCTATCAATTCCACGCGAAGATCAGAAGATATAAGCAAACGCCCCTCATACAATTCTTGAGAAATTCTATTATTCAACATGAAACTGTAATAACAAAGCCCAGAACCAATGACCATGTCCTGTGAATTATTGCCACTAAGCAACAACCGTCGAACTCTCTCAGGTAACTCTCTCAGGTAATCCATTTTACCGAAAAGAATTCTTAGCAAGGAAAGTAATCTGCAAGAAAAGATAGAAACAAAGAAACATTTAATAAAACACATTGCAGCTTCTCCAGCAACTTTTAATTAGCCAGCAAACAAAGTACACATTGCAAACAGTATCCTTAGAAAAACACATTGAGCTCTAAAAGAAGAGTAAGGTACCAGCAGTGTACATCCTAAGAAAACTGAGATGCACAACTCTAACCAAATAGAAAAAATACTACTACAATGTTCAAAAGAAAAGAAAACAAAAACTAAAATATAACTGAGAAAGCATGAGATGAGCTAACCTTTGATTATCTGGGACAATGAAGCAAAAACGATGGTGTCAAAGACAGATCCAGTCCAGTCCAACACCTTTGATTAACGAGAGTGAAGCAATAAAATCAAAGAAGAAGGTCAATTATATAGGGCTTTGAACTAAACCACTTCCTCAATTGGCCCTAAAACCCAATCTCACCAGTAAACCCCAAAAAAATCATAAAAAGGGTAAGAAATAAACAAACAGGTAACACTAGGAATTTTATAACGGGAAACCAAATAGAAAAGTAAGTCCTACATATAAATACCATACGCATATTCACACCAAAAAAAAAAAAAAAAAATCCTGTTTTCTCTCAACAAAAAAAAATATATATATATATATATATATTCCTGCGTTTTATTTGATCAACAATAAAAAGGTTCCTGTTTCTTCCTTGATTAAAATAATATTAATAAAAGTTTCCTGATTCTTCCTTAAAATAAAAATAATTTTTTTAAAAGAAGTTTCCTGCTCCTATCAAGATTAATTAGGTCATTATATGAATACATGACTTTACGGATGAATGGAAAGCATATTGATCAATTGAATAAATTACACGCTTTAGCTTATATTTCATACCCACAACCAACCCTAAATTCCCTTTTGCCTCAGTTTAGCATTCCAATATCATGGCCGCTGAGCTCACCTCGGGTCAAGACCATGCCTTGACGATGGCTTCATGCCAGGATGAGCTCCTTGCCAAGACATCGAAGATCAAGAAATCTCTGCGCAAGATATGGGCGATGGAGAAGTCTCTGCGCGAATTGGGGGAGAACGAGAAATATCTAGCCGCACTTTTGGCCCAGAAAATCCAACTGATCGATTTGAAGAAATTAATTTCAAAGGAGCTTCGCCTACTACGCCGCAGTAGGGCCGACAGTCGCAAACGTTGGTCAGTGCATGGCTTAACAGTGGATTTCATCTTCTTAATTTTCGTTCATCGCTGTTTTTCCTTTATATATTTAACATAAAATGTTTACCTTGCTATGTATATATTCTTAAAAAAGTAGATTGTGTAGCTTTGATCTTGGTTGATTCATTAATTTTCTCTAGGTCGGAAGTTGTTTGGAAGATTAACTTGACTTGTTTTGTATATCTCTCTTTTTAACACTAGGAATTTTATAACGGGAAACCAAATAGAAAAGTAAGTCCTACATATAAATACCATACGCATATTCAAAAAAAAAAAAAAAAATTCCTGTTTTCTCTCAACCAAAAAATAAAAATTGTGTAGCTTTGATCTTGGTTGATTCATTAATTTTCTCTAGGTCGGAAGTTGTTTGGAAGATTAACTTGACTTGTTTTGTATATCTCTCTTTTCTGTCCAGCTTGCCCATGGTTGAGAATGCATCAACGACGGTAAATCAGGGGGAAGATAGATCTTTGTTTTTAATGGTAACTTTCCTTTCGGGCAAATACACTAATGCCATATATGAAGTTAAATTCAAATTTGGAGGAGAAGTTGATGATATGGGTGCACGAGTGGCACGTGTAGCCAATTTCAGTGGTTCTCCCCATTTGGGTGCAAGGATTTTCAACCACTCCCAACTATATGTGTTTTCAGAGGAGGGTTGGGATAACCCTTGCGTTGATTCATTTGGAGGGTATATCTTTGATACGAAAACTAGGGCATTAGATCGCCTAACACCTTCTACCGTGCAATTTAAGCAACATGGAACAATTGTGTCGGCATATGACACACTTTATTTTCTTGAAACCGAAACGGAATTGGTACAAAGTCCAGGCTTATTCTTTGGGAAATACAACCCTGATAAGAAGGATTGGGTGCAATTGCCTTCGTTTCCATTTTCTCTTAGATTTGCTATGCATGTAACTGGTTATGCCGTTGGTTATGGCGTTATTTTGTACACATTCTCTGACTTGCGGGGTAACATTGATGTCATTGCTTTTCATGTGGGTAGAAAGAATTGGAAACGAGTGGAAATTGGCACTTGTACTCCTTTCCAAGGGAGGGCCGTGGTTGTAGGTGAGACTATATATGCCTTAAATCATTTTAGGACGGATGAGATTACAGCATACTCCTTGAGGAGGAAGGTAGTTGATGATGGTGATATTGCATATTCACTAGTCCAGCAATTTAAATTGAATGGCCTTGACATTGCGGATCCGCCATTGCCATTTTACAGACTTATGACTGACTATTTGGTTCATCTGGGGAACCAAGACTTCGTTCATGTTAAGACTGGCAGTTACGAAGAATGTGATGAGGTTCAACATCTTTGTATCACCACATTTCAAATTGTTCAAGGAATGATCGAGACCTTACATTCAACTGTTCTTCCTGTGAAAATCGATGTCCATAAATGGTTCATGCTTACGCTCGGCTTTACTCCGTAAGTTTTCTTCACATTTATCGTGCTTTCGTCAATAACTTTAATTTGTACCTTGGATTTTGTTGTTTACGATGATTATGACTCTCAGAGAGTGCGGGGATTATGAACCCATAGACGATAAGAGTGCAGCAAGCATGAAGCAGCCAGAACAAGAAGATGAAACCATTTTGGATGAGAATTCTTTGATGCATGAGGTAAAAGAAATGTGTTTACATGAAATTGTTTTTTGTTTTTTTTTACTGACCATGAATCAAGAGACTCAATTGTTTGCATGTCTAGAATTGGGTTTATTTATAAATTTGTATTTTTATTAACCTTTGGGTCTAGTTACTCACATAATATAATTGGGTTTTGCAGAAAGAAGCCAAACATGAAGTAGCCTTCACGCATCATGAAAAAGCAAACCAGAATAAACGCAAGAATGCAAACGGAATAATTAAAAACAAAAGAAAAAGAAAAGGCGGATGGAAGGAGGGATCACATGTAACCAAAAAAAAGAAAGTGGGATTACAGGTAGTAGAAAACAACCTGTAATGTGAGTACTTGAGGAGCAGAGCTGGGAATCCGTACATCTTTGATTAGATATTATTGAGGCATTTTACTGCCATCTTTTGTTCACTGTTGATATTGCTATATTTTATTTCACATAGATTGGGAGTTGATTTGTTCACTCCACATTTCATTGTAGATTGCATGCCTATGTATAGATGATTGTTTGCCAACTTAGCCTTGGTCCACCGACTTGGGCACTTTCTCCCAACCACGTGTTTGTAGTCTTGCTCTAGAGATTTCTTCCACCGCGATACTTTAGCCATTCACTTGTCACTTTTTCTAGAATATTTTACCATATTCCTTTTGTTTTGCCACCATGCAACTTCTTTATTGTGAGCTCTTGACTTTTCTAGAACTTTGTAGAAGAAATGAGCATTAGTTTTTCAACAGATATGATGGTGGGTCATTCTTAATTTGAGATGACTCTTGCACAGAACTAAATCAGCTGAACAATTGAAAGGCCTCTATATGTTGTGTGAAGCTACTCGACTGTTAAAAGTACTTGCTTGGTCAGATTCAGTATTTACGAAAGGAGAATGCATCCCCTGTTGTCGGAATCTAGCTATGCATAAGGCACTTTACAAATTTGTTTGCCCCCAAATGTATAAGGCATTTGTGTAGAAGATTCAAAAAATATACTTAATTCTGTAGCTATTTAGCTAAAACCCTAGTGGTTAGTTTTGGATCATTACTTAGGGATCAGTAGGTTAGAGCTGATTTATAACAACAACAAAAATGTAGGTTGGAGAGGAAACTTGTACATTGATTTAATAGTGCATCTTTTTAATGAATCATATTTTCATGCAAGTTGTTTGAAAATTGAACAGATGACCCATGCATGAGAAGAATGAGATCAGAGAGGAGGATAATTCTGCTGACAGAGTCTCCTGCAGACGATCACCAATGGCTTACTTGTTGGATTTAATTTGCTCTGATTACGCTGTTTGAACTGATAACCATTGCCAAAGCCATTGAGTGGTAATTCTTTTTCTCTTTCAAAATGTAGTTCCTATGTTTTATATATGGGTTTGCATTTAATGTGATTTTTCGAAAGGTATATTGGTTGTATAAAACTGATTCATAAAATTTTAGCGTGAATTTTTCATTTTGCTGTTGTAGTTAACTTTGTAATTGCAGGAATAAATTATTGGTAGTAGTTAACTTTGTAATTGCAGGAAAGAAATATGTAGCGCATGTGCTTGTTTTAATATTCAAATCTTTAATCTACTGATGCCATGAAATCTTTGATATACAAAATAAAATAACGCCATAAAATCTTTGATATACAAAATAAAATAACACTATAGTTCTAAATGCATGTAAAGCAGCTCCAAAAACCCACGAAAATGTGTTGTAACACCACGATCCACATCCTCCATAGAACCAGCAGCCAAACCATGTTGATGATAATGATGATACAGATTCCTAAGGTACCTAAGAAGATCCTCCACATCCCCAGTGTAATTTACACGGGGTTTTATTTTTTTGATGTGGAGGAGTTTCTTTTTCTTTCTTGATGCGGAGGAGTTTCTATGGTTATAAACACCCAACATAAAGTTATCCATGTTATTAAGGGTTGTTGATGCTCAAAATGGTTGGGCCAAAATTGAGTCCAACTTAGTGATGATGTGTGATGGATGATGAATGAAGGTGAAGACCTTAAGCATGTGTGTAAAGACTTGGGCAAGCGATAAATATAAAGAAGACAAGATATACGTGGTTCACCCTTAATGAATGGGCTACGTCCACGGAGAAGTATTCTCTCATTATAATGGTGTATGATTACATTTGTACATGGGGTTGGACCTGAATATAAAGATGACAAGTGAGATGCCCAGGCCAGGGATCTAGGAGAGAGTCCCTGGCCCTAGGGTCTAGCTCTGAGCCCCGGATCCTCTTCTAAGTGGGGAGAGGAAGTCCCCTTTTCACATGGATACTATTCCCTATTTATAGGGAGGTGAAAGTGGGAGGTTTGTGTAGATTTCCGATGTGGGACTTTGCACAAGTCACTGTGGTGGTGACACGTGTCATGGTGTTGATGCTCTTGGTGCTAGTTGCTTTGATGCTGGATATGCTCGGTTGATTATGGTGTAAACAGTAGTCCCCCAAGTTCGCGGTCAAGAAGTAACTTCTGGGTTGGGAACTTGTTAGGTTTTTGTGTAATCGTGACCGAGCATTCCAAGTTCAGTGGGAGTCGTAGGGCAGTCCCTAGTCCCCCAAGTTGGCAAGCTAGAAGTTGCGTTAACATTTGAAAGATATAATAAAAGCTGTGTAAGCCTTGGACCTGTTGGTAGCTGGGTACCTAGACTTTTGGCAAGGGGACCGAGCATTCCAAGTTCAGTGGGAGTCATATAGCATTCCCTAGTCCCCCAAGTTGGTAAGCTAGAAGTTGCGTTAACACTTAAAAGGTATAATAAAAGCTGTGTGAGCCTTGGACCTGTTGGTAGCTAGGTACCTGGACTTTTGGCAAGGAGGCCGGGACTGAGCTCTGTGGGGCTGAGCTTCGGTAGAGGCCGTGGCCTTGAAGTTTTGGCAAGGGGGGGCCTTGGGGAGCAAAATTTTGAAGAGCAAGGAGCTGGGCCATTGGAGTATACTTTGGTTCCTAGCAAAGACCTGGGATAAAAAAGGCTGGGCCTTAATAGAGATTTTGGCAAAATTCCCCTTGGAGCTAGGCTTTGGCAAGGGACCCAAGTGGTTTGGGCTTAAACGATTTGCAAGGGCGAGGCCCTAGGTGGGTTTCGGCAAGGAGCTGGGTCCATGGGGCCTTGGCTAAGGCTAAAGTGGGTCTGGACCAAATGAGGCCCTGGGTTTGAGAAGCTGGGAGCATTTTGGAGCTGGGCTAGTTTGAATTGTGGTGAGCCATGCAAGGTCTTTTTTTTTTTTGGGAGAATTGTGAGCCTCTCAAAAAAATTTCACGCTCCTTGCCGTTCGGCAAGGAGGCCAAGACTTCGGCATGGTGCTTTGGGAAAAAGGGCTGGGCCTTTTTTAAATTTTTTTTTTTGAAAATAGGGGCTGGGAGCTAAGGCCTTTGGTTTGGCCTAGGCAAAGGGCCTGGCTTGGAGGAGTGTCGGGAGGCAAGGGGGCTAGGCCCTTTTTGTTTCGGCAGAATAGCTGGTCCAGTTTTGGACCTAGGCAAGGCCCTCTTTGTTTCGGCAGATCCTAAGGGTTTCGGCAAGGTGCTGCGACTTTGGAAGTACTAGCGCAAGGCTGAGCTGCGTTTTGGGGGTTTCTGGTTCGGCAGCTCCGAGTCTTCCGTCGTCTGCACGACCCTTGCCGAACGGCAAGGTTTGAATAAAACCTGTTGTAGTTTGTGGTGGCCTTGGTGATTATCAAGAAAGTTGGCTGGGCCTTTTCAGGTTGGCAAGAGACTTAGGCAACCGGTGCTGCTGGAGAGCTTGGGCAAAAACCGTAGCTGTCGGGTCTGCGGGTGAGCTGGTTTCGGAAGCTTGGCTGCAAGTGAGAAACCGGGTCCTTGGAGGTGGAAGAGTTGCTGATATTGGAGCTGGGTCCATCTTGGTTGCTTTGATTTTGAGCGGGGTGCTGAAGAAATATTGGTTGTTTTGATTTTGGAGCTGGGCCTTCCGATTTTGGGTGTCTTGAGCAGAAATAAGACTTTGGGCTGGGCCTTTTCTACATTTTTTTTTCTTGTGAGCTTCCCTCCTGGAGGTCCTGCCGTTCGGCAAGGGAGTAGCTGGGACTTTTTATTTGAAAATAGGGGTTGGGAGCTAAGGCCTTGGTTTGAAAATAGGAGTTGGGGCTGCTGCAACAGAGCCAAGTCCCTTATTTTCACAGCTTCGGTAGTCTTGAGCTGGGCATTCAGACTGTCGGCAGGTTCCTCCAAGGTTCAACTAAGTTGCCGATCGGCAAGGGCGGATAGAACTTTTTGGAGCTTGTGGGGGCTTCAGCCAAAGTAGTTTCGAAAATTCTTGGTGTCGGGTCTCTAGCTTGGGAGGAGCAAGAGGCGGGACTGGTGAGAA